TTCCTTTCTCGTGTAGCATATTTCTCACCCTTCAATGACATTGTTTCTTAAAACGTGTTGAACTTTTTGGAGCCACAGCTCCTGGTAACTTTTAGGCAAGCTTACTACAATTTCTAATTTACTTATTTTGCAGCATATTGCGCAAAATGTTATCTAGACCAAATTGGTCATACAGTATTGTAATAACTACCTTGCTTGTTATATATATGCACCGGTTAATTAACTGCATACTGTGAATAATACACAGTAAAAATTTCGATTACTTGAACTTCAGCTAGTCTAATTATAACCGAATTTTGGTCAAAATTAGGAATTCTAAAGCAAGACAAAGGGAATACCGAAACGTACTGTTCGAAACTGATAGTAATTCACAGTGGAATTTTCAAAATTTGCTTTTTGAGGACGGACCCTTCAGTTTTGGTTTTTTGAAACTTGAGTATATTTGGAACGAGTTTCCGCTTTATTCCATAAAAGCGAAATTTCTATTCACAATATACCTATGTCGTAACGTATACTTTCACATTTAGTATCTAGCAAAATAAAATAAGTTTTAAGAATTTTACAGTTTCGATCATATCCATATTTTAGTAAAAATATATGAAATATAATTTTTATGTTAAATTTCTTACAAAAAATTATTCAAACAGCTAGTTTTTCCTCATACTGTTACGGGTAATTTAAAAATGTACTCTATATGCGAATTAGTAATCTTAAAAATTATCAAAAATTATAGAATTCAGAATACTAATTTTAAGATTAGATCACTAGGTGGAACAGAATAAACTCTTCATTGTATTGATAAAAGTTTTGGACAAACTTTATTTGTCTATCATTTGGTAAATACATTTTAGTTCTTTGTTCCCTAAGTTTTATTTAAACTTAATTTGCAGCTAAATGCCTGGAAAATGAAAAGCAATCTCCTTGAAAGGTACTGTTAAGTTTAAAAAGAATTTGATAAACATATAAAATTTATGAACTGTTGAGAAAAACTGACAATTTTTGTGTCAACAGTGAAAGCAAAATTTTCTGAAAGAAGGAAACTGGAAGAAAGCGCAGCAGTTTTTAGAAAATCTGTTCCAGAGAAATTGCGTATTCAAAGGCGAAAATATCTGGACATATTTTGTTAAAGTTTTTCATTCACTAAAGTTTTCAAAATGCTTCCAATGAACTAGCTTATGCTAAAGAAAAAGACATGATGATTAACATCAGAGTTGAATAGGAAGGGGACTATTTTTCAGCGAAACTGATTTATAAGCGTAAATTACGTTTTAGAATTTTATATAGGCGAAGAATCCAAAAATTTCTCAGCTGACTTTGTTAAAGATTTTAGAATTCAACAAAAAAAAAAAAAAAAAAAAGTTTCGGATATCAGCTAAAGAAGTTTTCAGAGTTGATGAAAGGGCCCACCAGCGGCCGAGCGGTAACGTCGCTGAACACTGGTAGTTCGGTCCGAGGTTCGAATCCCGCGAACGGGCTGGCTGCATGGGGCCCTCGGGGCTTTCCCCAATGTGCAACGTAGTATACCGAGGCCAGTTTCCCTTAAAAAGTCCTCCACGAAGGCATCCCTCCCTTAAGGCAGATATCCCTCGAGTGCTTTGCCGTAATCTAATAAACCAAACCAACCAGAGTTGATGAAACCAATTTTCTCCTTCATCTCACGCTTTTCACATGCTTAGTCACTAACCCTTTCAGGGGCGTGGTTTCGCCTTGAAACCGCATTTTCAACATTTTTTTTTAATTTAGAAAATTTGGGTTTTTTTTTTTTTTTTCTCAAAACCGCTGCTAAAATTAAATTACTTCTTAAAGCTGATAACAGATGAAAACACTCACAGTTGCGTTTTTATTATGCTTCTCTTAGCGGTCGCTTTTCTCATGCTTCTAGTTCATAGTAAAATAATTGTACGCATCTTAATTTATTTTATTTTTACATATAATTTTCTTAGTTTTTAACATAATTTTTAAAAATATTTCATAGTTTTATGTAAGTAATTTAGTGCATTATTAGTTACTTTTTGTCTCAAACTTTTTTGTTTCCTGTTTTAAATTTTTTATTCATAATTAAAAATGCGTGTTTATGTAAATATTACTTACTTCATTAGTTGTTCAGTAATTTACTAGTATAATCTGCAATTTGGGTTACGTTCAGATACTTTTCAGCAAAGTAAAGATAAATAAGCAAATGTTTAGTCTTAAATGCTCTAGACGGGCGCTGGTTTCAAAGCGAAACCGGTCCCCTTTTCAAAAAGGGGGACGAAAAAATTTTTTTAAAACTCATTTATGTTGTCTATAGGACCATTGCATGTCATTATGCTTACTTTTTCATAACTTTTAAAAAATCACATTGCGCCCCTGAAAGGGCTAAGGATGTCGAGTAGTCATGGCTAAAATCGTTAACTATTTTACTCTGACCAAATACTGATGAAATGGAAGGCGATGCATCTGCTCATAAGAGCATCGCAAAAAGGAAGAGGTTTCAAAAGTTTTTATGTTAAATAAAAAAGAGTGGACAACTGCAGATTTATCTGCAGAATGCCTCAAAAGAATCAAAAAAGAAAAAAATATTTTTGTGTAATGCTCTTTGATTTTTGCTATTTAAAAAAAAATTAAAATTTTGAACTTATTTTAAAATAATGATAATATTTTAACAAATTAGAGGCTCGGTGGCGCAGTGACTAGCTCATCGCGCAGCAGCACCACAGGTCCGGGGTTCGATCCCTGGGCTGGGTAAATGTCGACTCAAGCTTTCATCCCTTGATTTCCATCCTTTGGATCTATAAAATGAGTACCAAGTTCGCTTGGGGACTAAACACTGGGAGTCCTGCGACCAAGCTGACCACTTGTTCAAGGCATATGCTTACGTACCCCGGGGACCACGGTCAAGAAAGCAGATTTCGGGGCACTGCAGGCATTGGCCCGCTAGGGCTGTTACGCCACTGAGTTTTTCTTTATTTTAATAAATTAAAAGTAAGACAGTAAAACTGTGTAAAGCAATGGAAAACAGTATGTACATATTATTATAAATTAAACTGTCTATTATATATCATTTTAATTTACACATTGCCTTCCTCAATGGCCCATTGGAAGACATATTAATCGTGCTTTAACACATTTCTCTTTTAATATATGCGGTTTTCAAATGCATTTTGGCGTATACTAAGTCACAAAGTATTTTTTGGTTCAAATTTTTGGTTCATGTAGTTCAGATAAATGTAGTTAAACTCCAAAAACATTTATATGAGCAAATGTACTTTATAAGTACACAATCCGAATGAATAAATAGAAATTCTTAAAATGATTACTTGAAGAACCACGCAACTTAAATACTTAAAATAAAATTCTAAAAATAGCAACTGTGATGTGACAATGTAATATAAAGTAAAAATATTTGCAAAATAAATAAATAAAAATAAAAAAATAAACGATGCATTGTTTTTTCCGTACATACAAAATAAAAGTGAAAGTGAAAAGGTTAACATAAACTGAGGACTTCGCCAAATGAATCAATCACTCTTGACGGCAAGTGAAAAAATTGCACTAAACCATACTCCCATTAAGTTTTCACTAAACTTTACAAAATTTGATTCTTAGACATAATTTGAATCATCGAAATGAAATAAGAGAAAAATCGGCATGTCATTTCTAGAAAAGTCCATTTGAGTTGAAACTGGCCTGCTAGAACAACGCTATACATAATATGCCCTAAGTCGCGCTTTCGAGACATGGAAAAATGCAAGTTGAATTTCGTCAGTCGGACTAGTAGAACGGGAGATTTCGGGACACAACTCTTTTGGGGGAGGGGGGATGAACGGTGCAATCAAATCAAACTTATTTTAATGTGACAAAAAATTAAACTATAAAGCAACAAATAACAGCATATATAAAATTATCATTACAAGAACTGTCTAATATATATCATTTACTGTAGCTGATAAATATTATTCTTGGGAGAATATTCCTGTAAAGTTATATAGAGATTTGTGTTTATTTGATAATATTTTGTTTTTAAGTATATCTGTAGTGTTATGTGTGATTTTTATTTATTTATTCAAGGCATTTTATGTAATAATTTTATTGTGTATTTTTGTTTAATCGAACTTGAGCCCATCTATTGTGCCTACGTGTATTTATTTCATACATTATGGTGTAGGTTTCACAATTCTGAATCGATCGGCCTTTAAGCTATGAATATATTCCGTTAGAAGCTGAGATATACGTAGAAACTTTCCTAGTGGGTTTTAACGATAATTTTTATTTCCGCTTAAATTCGTAAAATGTCGTTAATTATAAGACACTGGGAATTTCCGGCAACTGCATTTTCGAGATTTAAAGGAGACTTTATTCGAAGTTCCAAGAAGTGTTGAGTAACACTATAAATACAGCTGAGTTTAGATTTGTCGGTCTGTTAGTTCATAGAGTTCAACGGTCATTTCAGAACTGTGCTTTTATACGGAGTTTTTCCCCAATGCTCGGCATTTTAAACTCTTTGAGTGATCTGCGACATTCCTCGTGTGTTGAAGAGAATTTGTCTTAGTGTTCCTCTTGAACTATTTATAATAGTTTACTTGGGTGACAGCTGCTACTGAATAAATGGTCAATTTCTTCATGTTCAACTGAGGTAGTTATGAAAGAATTCTCTACGAACCCATAACGTGCAACAATATTTTGGTTTCCTTTCGTTGGTAAACCTTGTTGAAATTGTTTTGCTTGTTTGAATCTGAAACAAATGGCAGTTAAATTCTTGTCTAAAAATAGATAGTATGTAAAAATGAAATAAAAAAATTGCAAGCGTTTTTCAAAAATCTCTTCTGCATTATTGATTTCACATATAAGGGTTTTAATTTCGATTATTTGAGCTTTTAAGGCCACCTAGTTTTCAAATTTAGTTAGAAAAAAATTAAAAGGAGCAATAAAATTACAAATTGCTATAATAAACTGGATTGTGGATACCAATTTTAACCTAAAGGTGGAAATAAAAGTAAAAATATTTGTTTGTTTTTCAGCTGTGCTACAAAAAGATGAAGTTGACGTAAAGAAAAATGATGCTTTACGTAGTCTGTCAGAATTTCCGCAGGAAAACTGTTCTAATTTCTCATTAAAAGAGATTTCCGAAAGCTTTCTTCCATCTATGATGCATAACAGTGACGCCAATCAGGACAAACCTAAGCCCGAATCATCAGTGAAAAATAGCAAAGATATGTGTGCAGTTTCGTTGGAGAAAGATTGTGAGGATAGCAAAAAAGAGTAAGTACCTTTTTCTAATATAGCAATTCTTTGTTAATAACACAACCCTATACTAACAAAGAGGTTCCCAAAATGGGAGCTTGCAAGACAGCAAAAAAAAAAAAAAAAAAAAAAAAAAAAGGGTAAGTGTCTTTTTCTAATATATAGTAATTCTTTCTTAATAACATACTCTACTACCAACGTGAGTCGAGGAGTTTTGAAATTTTATTTGCTTGGTTACATGCATTCTGCTTCGGAGTTTGGCTTAAATGATATGATTAGCATGCAACAAATATCAAGATAGTTCCCTTATGTTCACGTAATTTATTTGAACATGATATATGCAAACAACTGTTTTCAATAGCGAGAGAAGCATTCCGCTAATTAAGAAAGTATATTATGGTGAATTAATTCTTTCTTGAAGTGATACCACTGCCTATAAACGTTGTTAAAATTCTAAGGAAAAATTATGTTAGTTATAGGAAAGTTAAAGTGAGTAATACATTAGGCACTGGACTAGGAGTCAAATTTCATAGATAAGTAAATGGTATGAAAATTAATCAAAAAGTATAGCAAAGTACACGCATAAATTATGCTTCGTAATAAGTTAAAATGTTTTCTGTTAAATAGAATGTAGTTAAAAATACCAAATTTAGTAATGAAACAACAGTCTTTAAGATTTTACTGAAAATGAAGTAAAAATTTTTGTGTGTTAGTAAAATCTGGCTTGAAATGAAAAAGATAGAAGAAAACATGAGTTTTTTTTCAAATACTCGCTTGATATGTAATACAATAAATTAAAATATAATAATTGTTCATCAATGCAATACAACAATTTTGTACTATTAATTGTTCCTTTCGAATGTGATAAAGAAGTAAATTTTGAGTCAGAGAGAAACATTTTTACAAAACAATGATTCTGGTCTTTAAGTAATCAAAGCGTTCTAAAAGTTGATGTTTCTTATAAAGATACTGATATTTTCTTAGACATGTTTCGTATCTCCTTTCCATACTATAAAAGGAAAGTATGCTAAAATTAAATAAATAAATTGATATTTCTTATAAATTACGTTACATTAATAAAAAAATGTTTCCCAAAAGTCTAGGTAATGAAAAACAGTGGTCGTAATAAATTTTTAAAAAGTTCGTAGTACATTAAAATTTTGCTACGTATCCATGAATTCATAAAGCCAAAAAAAAAAAACCTAATTTATCATGATCTCTTGGTTACGGTATATTCCATTATCGTTCAAAAACTTTATGCCTTTTTGTTGAAATAAATTTGAACCTGAATATTCAGAAAACGAAATTACCCTGATTTATTAAATTCCCCTAAGGGTAGAATGCAGTCTTCAAACGGAAGATTTTAGAATAAAAAATGGATTATAGATAAGAGTAAGATAAAAATATTTCATTGTTTTTCATGCACAATTCGTGAAACTAGTTAAGGTAAGGTACAAACTTGTCCCATTCGAAACATTTTCCGAAAAAAATATCCAATCCTTGTTCATGTTTTCCATACTCAGATGCTGATTTTGTTGGAAATCTGACATTTTCTTCATCCATTTTATATTTCAGTATTGCTGTTTACCACGAGAAGAAGATTTTTTCTTGAATATTGAATACTTCTCTTATAGGTCTGAAAGTGTTCTGGTAATTTGCATTATAAACTAATGTGATTGAAAGTACCTAGATATATGACAATTATCTTGAATGTTTAATTAATATGAAGGGAAGAATGCTCCTCATGTGCAGAACAGAACAAGTTTGGCTTAGAATCTTCTCCAGGAACGATTTTTTTTAAGTCTTTATATGCTTTTCAGCATCTATCAATTTTCATTGTGATCCTATCTTTTCTCTAATTTGTGAAGAATTCCTAATTGAATACTTGCATTTGAAATTTTTTTAGCTGAGTTTAAAGTATATATGTGTTTTGATGAATGCGTGGGGCAATGCGGAACTATAGCATCGATTGGTTCTAAGCATTCATACTGTATCTCTTTATCTTAAGAATACAACCGTTTAAAAGGGAAAATGTGTTTAATACAAGGTAACCAAAAAAGACCTTGCCGTTTTGGACAATCAGAATGAAAAAGTCATAAAACAAATAATAATCACCACTAATCCTCAAAGTAATCACCATCGGCATCCAGTGCGTTTTGCCAAAGAGTGGCTAGCTGTGCGATGCCGTCGCGGTAAAGCTCAGGAGTCTTGGCCGCAAAGAAGTCCGCGAGGGCCTTTTCGAGATCTGGCCGGTTGTTGAAGGATTTCCCACGAAGATGGTTGTCCAGGGAAGGAAACGGTGGTGGTCTGTTGGCGCGAGGTCTGAGGAGTATGGTGGATGGGTTAGTGTCTCCCAGCCCAATCGCTGGATGGTGCCTCTGGCCTCCCGAGCCGCATACGGTCTCGCAATGTCAGGGAGGAGGAGTACCCTTTTACGATTGCCAGTGTTGGCTCTTTATGCATCAGTGTCTGATGCACACGTTACAATTGCTGCGAGTACAGGCCTGCTGTGATGGTTTGCCCCACTGGCAGGAGCTCATGGTGCGCCACTTGGTGACTAGTCCACCAGATACAAAGGATGATATTGCGTGGGTGAAGAGAAGGCGTCGCAGTGTGAGGCACAGTGTCTCGTGGTGACAACTAATGTCTGGAACGCCTGGGTGGGTCATACTCAGGCGGTCAACGCTGGTGACCTTGTCAACGCTGGTGTCACTTGTCAACGCTGGTGAGTACTTGATCAAATATGTATGCATTGCGGTGCCGAATAAACAATGACAAACAGGCAGCGACACGCTGTTGCTTGTTTGCATCGGACAAGTGGGTACCGATGCTTGTTTGCATCGGTATCCACTTGCTTAGCTTGTTCCACTTGCTTAGCTGCCTTTCATATGCGGTGCAAATGGAGTCTGATCATTTCATCAGATAAGCAAACTCACCACATGTTTGGCTACTGAAATTCCCTATGGTTGCTTTAAGGGCTTCATCGTCCAGCGCTTGTGGCCGACCGCTGCCGAACTCCCATTCTAACCACTGCATCTCCTTATTTGGCGACTATTTTTATGTTGGGGTTCACTCTTCCAGTGTCATATCAGAAACGGCAAGAGCTTTTTTTTTTGGTTACCTTATACTTTATGGAGTGTATTTTATTTACTTATCATGTATGATCTTCATGAGAAGTTTAATGCTATATGTCGAAGAATGATTTGGCTCAAGTGTTTAAGCAAAATAATGCTTTTTTGAAAATGTGGCTTTTTTTTTAATTAAGTCATACTAAAATGTATTAAAATTTCGTTTAAGTCGTACTCAAAAAGGCTGTAAGAGTTCAGCGTTAAGTAATGTCAGTTTGAAATGCAAATCTTATGTTAGAATGAAAGCATTGAAAATTTTAAGTTGGATCATTATTATTTGGAATTCATGTCAAAATTTAAACTGGAATTAATTCATGTCATTAAATTCCAGCTTAAATGTTTTTTCAAACAGAAAAATATATGTTAGTTTACTTTTGAAGAAATAGAAGTATATATTAATAAGTATTTAGAACAAGGAGGAAAAAGTTAAGGGTAAAATAAAAATCTAACAAGAAACAAGTTTAAAGACTAAAAGAATTTACGTTTATAAAACGTAAAAGAAGAAAGTGTAAAAGGAAAAAATTAAAATTTACTTTTGAAGTACATACAGAAGGAAAAAAATAAAAACAAAAATATCGTTTGTGAAAACAGAAATTAAACTAAATTTTAAAAAAATTAAACGTATAAAAATATATATTACTTTTATAAAATAAATAAAATGAAAAATGTAAAATTACATTCTTAAAAATAAAAAGCGAAAAGAAAAAAGTAAATAAACTTACAAAAATAAATATTACTTTTATAAAATAAGAAAGTTAAATGCAAAAAAGAATTATAAAGTAAAATGAGTTGTCCTTGTTACTTATGCTCACTTGTCTGACAGTGACATCAGCCCAAGCTTACAAAATTCCTCTTGGCAAGGAACTCAAGATACGCCTGTCGTTGGCAACAGGCTTGAGCACCATACGGGTGACAGTACGATTTAGCTCAGTGCCATCCTCAATTTTGATGGAGGGCACCCCGAGAGGACGGGTCCGAGACCCTCTCCCGTTAAACCAAACCTCATCAGAGGACTTTCGGCAAAGAATATGTATTCCGTTGCCAAATCCCTTAACGAATTTCCCCTCTTCTTTCTAGCGGCGTAGAAGACAATCTGGTTTACATTACGTCTATGGAGCCTTTCCTTCTTTACATAGACGTTCTTTGCTTTCGGCTCGCCGCATGTTTAGAGTGCCGCCATGCCTCCCGACGCTATACATTTACAAACATCCATGCCTTCTCTGGGATTTGAACCCGGGCCCTTTTGCACAGCAGTGAGCTACGCTAACCACGGTATCGGTTGGACGCCAAGTAAAATAAATGAAAAGGAAAAATGAACCTTGTGGAAAAATTATTACATTTTTAGAAATAAAATGTAGAAACATTAATTTGAGAAATTAAAAGTAAAATTTACGTTTGCGAAAGCAAAAGATGGAATAAAAATGAAAAAAAAAAAATCAATTTACTAAAAGTCAGAAGAAAAGAGAAAGCAACAAAAAATATGCTTGTAAAATAAAAAAGAAAAATTTTAAATGCGGGAAAATCTTACATTTAAAACAGCAAAGAATAAAGTAATGATTTAGAAAGCTAAAATATAATCTACGTCCACTTCAAGAAGCAAAACATTCTGATTAGTTGAAAGACGAAGCATATTGTTAGCGAGAAGCGGAATTGGTCTTAAAGTTGTTTTCGTTCGCCGTCGCGGAAGCGCAAAGGTGTGAAGCGATTTTCATGCCAAGGAAGGCTTGCGCATGCGCAATCCTCCAGCCTAGTGACTAGCGCCGGCGCAAGGTCATCCGGGCCCGCCTGCAAGATAGCTGAAGTTACCCGCCCCCTTTTTTATAAATTTTTGTATAGGAGAAGGAAGTTTTGAAGAAAGCATCCGTTGAATTTTTTTTAACAATTTATAGAGAATAATTTATTTTCTGCATTTCATATTTACAAATTTTTCTATAATTTCTTTTGCATCTATCTCTTGGCAGATTTCATTTTCAGTGGCAATCAAAGCTAGATTTATGAGACTTTACTGCGATATAAGAATGCTAACTATTATTCTCAATATGATCTTTAAGTTCGGGAAGCACAAATTATTTGACACAATTAAAGTTCAGAATATCGAATGGGTCTTTCATACTGGCTGTAAAAATGTCTTTCGAAGCTACTATTTCGTCATAAAGTTCTTCTACATTAATATCCTTATTGTCACCCTACTGTAACATTTTTCTAATTTACTGCATTTTATTTTCAAATTTGCATTATCGATTTCAGATAAATTACCCAGAAAACTAAAATTACCTCAGTGATTTTTAATTGCCTAAAATCTTTCATTTAATGATACCCAAGCATTATCCGAAATTCTAAAAAAAGACACTTTCCCTAGACTTCTCTGAAGATTAAGAGGATTCGTCAGCATGCTCGTAATCGAAGGGACATTTCTTTTTCCTTCGTCGGACTTCTTCAAAAGTTTTGAGCTGTGGCTCGCCATCCACTTCGACACTCAGTTTTTTGGCTTTCTCAAGAATACTTCTATATTCTTCAATGAATATTTTTAAGTTACTTATTGTCTTTAAGGCTAGTGTAATACTAAACCACTTTCTTGCCATTGTTTGGTGATTGGATTAATTTAAGCAAATTGTGTCAAAGTATCAAGGAACAAATAAATTTATAACTCTTGATTTTCAAACAGACTTCGTGCTTCATGTTGCAGTTCTTTTGAAAAGCATTCACCTTCGGATATTTCAAAAAGACCGTTATAGATTTCTCCTAGTTGATATCTTAAAGGTCAAATGGCTTCAATTTTGCTTTCTTATCGAGTGTTGGTTTTAAGGTTAAACTGGAAATGTTTTTCAAAAGAACTGCCCATCTCTTAGGAGAAGAAGAAAATAAATTGTATAATTCTTAAATTGTCGAAAAAAAAATTAACTGCATCTGCATTCACTTTTGCTGCATCGTTAATCATTAAATTTAAGCTATGAGCTTAACAAGGATGATAAAACGCACGAGGATTTATTTTTAAGATATTATTTTGAAGACCATTTTTCTTCCCTGTCATATTTGTGCCGTTGTCATATCCCTGGCCTCTCATATCAGCAAGGGAATGTTCACATTTCCATTACTGTCTCACAGACCGTTACCTGTAGAATCATCAACTTTAATAAAGCCTAAAAAGTGCTCCTTGATTTCTGCCGCACCTTCATTGCAGAGGACAAAACGTATGACAGCCCTCATCTGTTCAGTTTTGCTAATATCGGGAGTAAAATCTAAAATTATAGGATAATACTTGGCTTTTCGAAGAGGTAGTAAGATTTTCTCTCTTATACTACTGCCAATAATTTGCAACATTTCATTTTGACTGTTTTTGCTTAGATAATAAATTCTGTCTGTTGCTAGCTTTAGGTAGTAATACTCCTTATACGTAAAATTCCATAACTGGACAGAACTTTGCAAACAATTCCAATAATTTTAAGATGTATCCATTGTCTTTTAGGTACAGCACATCAGATGAGCCTCGAAAGGCTAAATTCTGACTGCCAAGAAATTTTATAATCAAAACCAGTCTTCCTAATACGTTTGACCATTTTTTTCTCATTTCATACATCTCTTGTATTTAGGAATCAATTATTATTACATTTTTCAAACTTTTCTCAAGCTCTTTTCTTTTTAAGAAATTTTTCATATGTGCTCGACTAGTCTCATGCCTATGTAAAACTTTAGATACATTTATCCAATCATCATAGTCTTTTACGAGGCTACTACTGTCACTCGATGCAAATAGTTTGCAACAGAAGCGAAAAACAGAATTTGTATGTGTTGAATATAATAGCCACGAATGGGAAACTAATTCTCCCTTTTCCTTTTTTCTGTTGTAACATGTAACACTAAATTTACATCCATTATTACTTTTCGGATACATTAAACCTTTCTTTTGAATAGGCCCCATATCAGACAAAGTCATCTTCACTTTGTCGTTAAAGAGTTGGCCACTTTTCAGGATCATCAAAATCAATATGAAGAAAGGAATTTTCATTTATGCCAGTCTCGTCCATCGAATTATCTAAATAATCTTTAACTTCAGATTCATTTAATTCCATGCTTGGATCATCACATTCTTTTGCATTAAGAAAAAAGAGCTCTGTGTCGTCGGCCGATCGGCGCCCGCCTGCAAAGAATGTCTTGCAAGCCCGCTTCCGCCGACCCTGCTAGTGACATCATGGTAGTTTCCGTTGCACAAAGTCAAATGATCAAAGAGGATTCAAGAGACAAAGCTCAGATCTCCCAAGCCAGAGGTAGCAGATTCGATTCCAGCTTTTTAAAACTCGTACAGTTCTATAAAAGTTATTCATTGACAATTACTGTATTAAATAATGAAATCAATCAAAAATAACGTACTAAATAATTAAACACATTAGGTAATTAAAGGAATCATTCCAAAACACGTGGTTCAAAACGTCGTTGCCACAAAAAACTATTGTTGTTGCCACAAAATAAAAACGAAACTATGTATGACGTCGTTTAAACATGACAATGTCACTTCCACTTGTCTTTTGATTCCAAGACGGCGGAGGATATGCCCTTTTTTCTGTGACGTCACGTTGTCGCGAGTGATTTTTCCTTAAAATTCGGCATCCCTCTTCGGTAATACTCGAAAAGTGTTTTCTCGGCTTGACTAAAACACGAATTACGTTGTCCTAGTGTTATATACTTCTTTTACTGAGCGTAAGAAATAGTCTCTAATAATCAAACTCAATCATTGGAAGCTCAATGCGCGTGACGCAACTTCTTCATGAATGCTTTGAAATTAGAAGTGCAAGGCCCGTTTGTCTTATGGCTTGTTCTTCATAACTTAAGAACCATTTATTTCTTTAATTTTCAAACTTTTTCTTAATTTTTGCGAGCAGGCGCTTCAGGTGTATCACAGTAATACTGACAATCAACATTTTCTTAGATTTTTTTATAAAATTCTTAGATTCCTTTCTCCACGTTTTACGAGCATTTCTGTTAAAGAAGAAAAATGAAAGGTTAAAACATTGATTTAGAAAAGTAACGCAACTTTCTTGACAAAGGAAGTAATCTAATATTTAATTTCAGAGTATGGTGTTTGAGATTTTCATTATTCTCCAAGTTCTAGAATTAATTTCAATGTATTTTATGTTAAACACTTTCAGATATTTTAATGCCTAAGGTTACATTTAATCAAGATAAATAATGATTCGATTAAACAGACTTTCAATTTTAATGCAATATTTTCTAATTTACATATTCTTAAAAATTTTCAGGTATGAAAAAGAAAGCCTAAAGGAAGATAAAGTGAAAATACGTTACAGAGTATACGCCGATATAGCCCATGTTTTCCTTGCCATTTCATTGATTTCTCTTATTAGGTTTTTACAAATATTCATTTTAAATTACTATCAACCTTCCACTACGTTTGGAATTTTTTTTAAAGGTTTTTGCTTCGCATATACTTTTGTTGTATATTTTCTCAGTTTTCACTATTTAATTGTGACATCTATTTCCCTGTGGCAAAATATCGCATATCTTAAAATTGCAGATGCAAGAATAAAAGAGCTTTCAGTGTAAATAAAAATGTAATTCGACAATTTTTCCCCCTTTCTTTCTCTCTCTCTTTTCCTTTCCCAGTTTCAATAAAATATCATTCACGAAATATTTTTTATGTTTTTCATTGTGTGTTTTTATTAATTAAGTTGTATTTATTGTATTTTTACATCTCTGAGTCCTGTTTAACGAAAGATGATTTAAGATTAAGTTTGGAATGGAATGTTATAGCATAAGACCATTTGACACTTAAGACATTTGAAATAATATTTAATAAAAGGGCAAATATTAGTTAATACAGGATGTTAAAATAATAAATTAAAATGAAGAAGATATATTCGTATCTGTTTTTAAACCAAAAGGATTTTTTCACAAATGATGCTGCTTGGCAAGCTACACTGCTGGCCATTAACATTGCTGCACAGGAAGGAATGATCTAACGAATGTCAAAATCACACGAAAGGAAGAAGAGTTTGGAATATGCAAATGATTAGTATTTCAGCGCATTTATACGACGCAGGAGGGAGAAACGACGTCTGAAGTACTGCATAAAAGAAAAGTTTGTTGTGAATTTCTCACTCGGAAAGCGCTTTGTATGGTCGGAGTTTTCTCAGAATATAGTATTATACCTCAAATAATAAGAAGAAATGTTTACCAGCAAGTGTCGGAATTAGACGCAGGATCGTTGCCTAACGAGAGTGTGGATCATCGTCCATGATATCGCCCGTCGCACTAGTCGACATCAACCACTGTCATGCAAGTATGGGATCAATGGGTTGCTGAGGGTCATACTGAACGGCATGCAGGATCTCAATGCACTCTCTTGACTAACGCCATAGCGTACAGGCATATTGTGAGATCAGCCCTGCAAAATCTTACGCTCACATCACGGACTATTAGTCAGGAAATGCGCATGCTCGCAGCACGCCCAGTATCAGCTCGTAAGGTGCGTCGACGTTTGCAGTAGAGTGAACTATCAGCAGGCTGACTATTACTTCGACTTCCCTTGACAATGCAGCATAGAAAGAGACGGCGACTCTGGTGTCCCGAACGACAAAGCTGGATGTAGGAGTGGCACAATGTCGTCATTTCAATGCCGGTTCTGTGTGCAGTATTCCGGTTCTCTGTGCCGTATACGTGTCTGGAGCCTCCTAGGAGACCACATGTCGCCTGCTTGCATAGGGATCCTGTACCTGGTGTGATAGTTTGGGAAGGCACATCTCTAGTTCGGATAGTCGGTAATTTGAACGCATATTAGCACATTTCTGACACTTTACTTTCAGTGGTTGTGTCCTATCTTCGAGGCCTGCCAAACGCCATCTTTCAACAAGATAATACAAGACCACATGTTGCACATCGTATTCTGGCCTTCCTCGATAAACAGAGTATTCGATTGCTGCCCTGGCCGGCACTGTCTCCAGATCTGTCACCAGTTGAAAACATCTGGTCACGGGTTGCTGAGAAATTGCCCGCCACCCCTCTCCAGCTAATACGGTCAATGAAGTGTGGTATAGACTTGAAACAGCATGGAATGAGTTGCCCGTTTGTGTCATCCAAGCCCAGATCGCCGGTTGAGGGCCGTTTTACCCGTCAGGGCTGGCAGATGTCTTTCTAGTAATTTCGCACCCCTGTAAACCCCCAGACTGCTTACAAATTTGATCATTTTGTCTTCATGCCATACTGTTTACGCACAATAAATTAAGCTGCATAGTTATTAAAATACGCGTATTAATGTATGAAAGTCTACTAGCCTTAATTTAAACATCAAGAGTCTGTGCTATTCAGTAATTAATATAAGAAAAGTATGTCTTAGACGATGACATTTTTAGCATCTATGATATGTCCTATTTAAAAAATTAATTTAGTTCATTCGCCAACAGCATGATTCATTCAAAGTCCAGGAACGGCAGTAATACAAACAATGATAAATAGCAGTATGAGGAATAAAACATTTGTCTATGAGTTTTAAGTGTCAGGAGAAGTCACGCGATATTAGTAGTTAACATTTTTATTGTTTCGAATAGCGTAAAATAAGTAGTTACAAACGCAGTGTAACTGGGTCATAAAAGTGAAAAGGCGGATCGAAATGATATTAAGAACTTTGTATAATTAACAACGCTGAATATTAAAAAAAAAGAGAGGAAAATCGCTATAATAATAACGAAATAATTAAAAATTTAAGTACAGCCGTGTAATCAAACAAGCACCTTCGGAAATTATAGGGGTGGTTTATATCTGCATATATACATGTATGCAACGTAAAACGGGTGGCGAAACTTCATGTCAGTAGAGGTCAGGTTTTAGAAATCAGAAAAACTGAATAGACGTGCAGATTTTACTATCAGTGTGGCAAATAAATATTTTTATCATTTTAAAATCAATGTAACACATTTTGAATAGAAAGAAATGTTTTATGTAGTACAATCATGTTATTGTGTTTTAGAACTAAAGCAGCTATTTGGTACAAAATCTTTTTGTTCTTGCGCTATATTCAAGAAAAATATGCCCTTAGGAGACAGGTATATTAAACATTGTGCAATATTACCATACGCTGAAAACACTTTATTCAACCAGGAAAACAAAGATATTTTCCCCTAGTAAAGGAAAAAAAAAAAAAACACTTTTCCCTCCGATTTTGATTGTAAGATACAAGACACTTAATATTAATGTAAAAATATGTCTGAAGGTGAAGATGTAGTGATTTGAAAACAGAACAGAAGAATTTCTTTCTATACATATTTAAAACGAGGGAAAAAGCTCTGTCGCGGTTTCTCTATCATTTATTTTAGATTTCAGTTAAAAAAAATTGATTAAAATGCAATTCGATAAGCGAAAATTGTTCAAAATAATCTATTAAACTAGAATTTTCACATAGAAATTATTACTTTTCTTAAATAATTAACGCGGAGATCAACATACTTAGATTAAAGCCAATTCTGAATCATTTAATTAATTTATTAAATGAAGATTGGGTCACCAGACACGTTTTGTTTCTTTAAGAGCAAGTTTTGGCTAAGCAAAGTACATTCAAGAAAATCAAAGTATTGTACTGCTAATATACACTCTTAGACAAAAAAAAAAAAAAAAAAAAAAAAACAAAAAGGACGCACCGAGGAAAAATATAAAGCAATTGGACACAAAGTGATATGCATACAGGTTTCGACGGAAAATGCAAAATTTACATTTTGGCTGCATGCATGAACGGTTGTCGTTACAGCGCATCTGATTGCGCCAACTGGCAGGATATTTAAGAGGAGAAATTACGATTCAGGTCATAAATTTTCACGACTTCATCCGTGTACTCGGAGAGAGTAACATGCCTCGCATACAGGTGCCCGAACGATAGCGCAGAATAGAATTTTGAGGAGAGGTCGTGTAGTTGAGCCAAGAAGCGGTGGTATATCGGCGAATAATCGACATTTGTGCAGGAGCTGGCACTAATTAGACGATGTGCAGGAATGGGTGAACCATGGCCGCACACGGCGTCAAGAAAGAGCGTAGGCTAGAGAAAGGACAGACGTGAAGACCGAGCATCGTCAAGCGCACACACAGCCCAGTTACATCATTATCGCGAGTACGTGCAATAGTGCTTCAGTGACCGCAAGGGACATTCATAGCGGCTACAAAAGGGGGTTGAGGTCACGGCGCCCTTGCGCCCGCCTACTGTACTCTGTACAACGTCAGCACGTTTGAGCATGTCGGGTTCATTCGCACTGGAATGTCACTGACTAGAGTAGAATAGTCTCAGTGATAGCCTCCTTGAACGAGCCCCGAGACCGCGAAGGCGAGTCTGGAGATGCCCCGGACAGCGGTGTGATACCCCTTGACTGTCTTCCGGCAGACAGGCCGACAAGCTGGAGTGATGGTCTAGGGTGCCATTTTATTTCATAGTAGGACCCCTTTGGTTGTCATCCGTAGCAATTTTACATTGCACAGCGGTACGTTGACGAAGTTCTAAGGCCCGTTATGTTGCCCTCTGTCACAAAACTGGGCTTTTTCAGTAAGGCCGAACCCACACTGCACATGTTTCTAATGCTTGCCGAACATTACCTTGGCCGGTAGCCGGATATCTTCCCTATTGAGCCCTTTTGGAGCATTATGGGCAGGGCTCTCCAACCAGCTCGCGATGTTGACGATCTAACGCGCCAGTTGGACAGAATTTGGCACGGTATCCCTCAGGAGGACACCCGCAACCTCTATCAATCGATGCCAAGCCGAATAACTGCTTGCATAAGGGCTAGACGTGGACAAACTCGTTACTGAAATTTTCTCTTTGTGAAGTTCTATCACTTCAATAAATCATCCAATTTTTCTCAAACTGTAATCATTTGTTTTTCTGTACATGTACATCACTTCTAACGATTTTCGTCCCATTCGGATAACTCCTTCTTGTTTTTTTGCTGTCCTGATATCCCTTACCTCTTAAAAAACAATATATCATCATGGTAGTAAGTTGCAAAAACAGCACACAATTTGAAATTGTTCAAAATTGCTCTTCAGTGATGTAATTTAAAACATGAAATAATTGATTGTTTAAAGAAGATGTTGCAGCAAGCTTTTAAACAAGCCCTATTGCTTATTATTACGCTAGTTACATTGAAAAAGCCAAAAAGACGCAGACTGGCCATGCCTGCAAGAGTACGTCGAGATTGCTTTCGAGACCGAAAATTACATTAAATTTCAAAATCAACTTTTTAAACAAGTCAGTGGTCTTCCAATGGGGTCCCATTCCAGTACCTCGCTCTGTAATAT